TGACGGTTAGCGTGTATGCTTTTTAACTGAAATATGAGCTCCAGTGCTTGCAAAAGTTATGCACAATACAATACAGTCATCAAAATTGCAAATCGGAAGTTCTGTGCTCAAGTCCCTCTACCGACGTTTATCCTACCATTTTGGTATTTCCTTCAGACTGTCTTTTTATGACCGCGGTCCCGTTCGAGAAAGTCTAATGTACATTTGTATAATAATAATAATAATGGTAATAATATTAATAATAATAACGCGGTTGTTAAGATATAAAACCGATCCGAGTCAAACTGCAGAAACTGAAAAAGATAGGGGTCAGCGAAGAATAGTGTTCCATTGCTCCTGTTTGTCCAGCTTGGCAATGTTTGCCAATGTTTCATCATCAGTCGAGATGACATCATCTGGGCATTTGAATTGTCAAGTCAAGTCAGTCAAGTCAAGGAATGGCTTTATACACCCCGAGAGGTGAATATTCCGTAACCACATGACCACAGTGTGTCAACAAAAAGTGACAAAAAACAATACGATACAGTAATTAAATGACGTGAAAAAGGATAGCAACATCAAAAACCATGCCCAAATGTTTATGATTGATTTCGTTTGTGCAGATTCTCTTCAACGAGTTCATGGTTTGTTAGAAATCTGGCTAGATGAGGGACAATAGACCATCTGTAAGTCTCAGTGCGTGTCTTTATAATTTTTTCTTTGAAACGGACGGATGTATGAGAAAGTCACTGGCTAAGAGCTGAATAAAGAGGATGGGAAATATCAGATAAAATCTTCTTGGAGAATGTTTTACAGGACTGGAGGTGATTTGTCACCAGATACTGTACCGGATATTCCCGTGGTATGAGACTAAACACTGACAGAAATTTGTGGGATCGGGAAATGCGTTTGAGGTCCTTGTCAAAAAGACCAGGGAAGATAACAGGGGACCCCAAATGCCAATGACGTAAAACGCACGCAAAAACAAAACGGTTCATGAGATGGTTTGAAATGGAAAGTGATTCAATACGTCAAAGATAAAACGTGAGCAACATGACCTTCAGAAAAATGTCATTAACGCGGTCAGACCAGGTGAGGTTACGGTTGAAAATAACGCCAAGGTATTTGACGGACGGTTATCCTTCCATTTGCTCACTGAGGATAGATAAAGGTGGGCGGGCATTTGACAATTCATCATACTTTTGCCCTTTCAAAAAGGAACAAAAATTACGTCACTACATTTTTTTGGGTTCTTGCGGAGGTTCCTTTGTTGAGACCACTCAACTATTTCCGACACGTCTTCTTGTAGAGTGGTTTGAAATGATGAGTTGGGGCAGGGCAGTCCGAACATTATATCATCTGCATGGGTAGCAAGAAGAAAAGAATTGCTCACAGGCATAGAGAAATTGTAAGCAGAAAATAGTACAGGAAATGAAGTAACGTCTTGCAGTACGCCTTGTGAGGAGGACAGCAGTGACTTTGTAGCGTGTGAACTGCTGACGGTTGGAGAAATAGTTGGCCAATAGTTCCATGGTAGAAGGTTGAACTCTGCCCGAAGAGTGGGAATTTACCAAACTTTGTCGATCAATTGTGTTGGAGGCATCACTGTAGTCAAGAAAAAATGTGCGTACAGCCTTGCTTTTCTTATCCAGGTTCCTTAAAACAAAGTGGGACAGATAAGCAAGGACATCCAAGTTACTGCCGGGAATGGGTGTGTGCAAACTGGTTAGGGTCAAAAACATCGAACTGTGTGAACTGAGTCTTAATGAGGAGCCTCTCAAACACCTTCAAGACAACTGACAATGGAACAGGATTTTGGGGATCCTTTCTTCGGTACAGGGAAGATAAAGGATATTCTCCAGCAGTTGGGTATAGGTTGCTGCGAAATACAATCATTGAAAAGTTTCAATTGGGCTAACTCTTGATAAATATCGACAGGTGCAACTCTGGAGACGAGATCAATGGTGTTTATTTCATATCCATTAGGAAGAGCAGTGAGAGCGGTTCCACCGTTGATGATACTCTGATTCAGACCATCCATGTCCACCGCAGTAGCAGAACGGTGTGAGGATTTGATGCCGGAAATTCACACGAGGGCTCGCCGTCTCACAACTACCTTTGTTGTCAAGCCGAGTACGGGTGCATAAAGATTTGGAGTTCAACCCGGATGAATTTAGAAAGGGACTACACTTTGTTGCTCTTATGCATTTTGAAGGCACGCTCCTTTCTACGACGGAGCTGTTTGAGGTTTGGGGAAGAGAACTGATCGGGACGAATATAAATTGTCTCTAAGGCACGACAGACATCGTAACAAAAGTTTAATTAGCTTGTTAATTGACTGCAGAAAACGGAAAGGTTGGGATCAGAAAACAAAGTAAGGTCGGAGTGTCTTCTGCTTGTACCCGTTCGTTTATATATGTGTTCTTCTCCACCGACCATTTTTGTCCGTTGTTCTCATTGTGTTCGACTCGGTTAGCCGTTAAACTGGTGCGTGGAGGTGAGGTTGGTAGGGGAGGTGGTTGTCCCTCCGTCGTGATTGCGGTTTCGGTCCGTCCTCTAGTCACGGCGTGACCTTTTTTGTTGCATCATTTGATCCTTCTATTGCATTGGTGTGTACGCATGATCCAGTTCGATGTGCCTGTTTATTGAGTTGATTAAAGAGTGCCAGGCCTTGGGGAATTCTCTGACGTGTTTTGACCAGGCTTGGTACATAATTCTAACTGATTCGAAGTCAAATTGATGTCCTTCTTGATCTTCGTGGAGGGAAATCAACGATAGTTGTTCATGTCTCCTGACTGCCGATTGGTGTCCAAGAATCCTTGTGAACAGTTTTCTCCCAGTTTGTCTGATATAGTGTTTTGAACATTTCTGGTAGTTTATTTTGTAAATGACACTGCTCTTGTCCTTCTCCATTGTTCTCTCCTTGGGTTTTAACAGAAGTCCCCTTAGACAGGCGATCGGTTTGTGAGCTACTTTGATTCCATATGATCTCAGCGGTTTTGCCGTCATTTCCGAAACGTCCTTGATGTACGGCAGGTTCGTTCTTGTTCCCGATTCTAGGTCTGTTGTTCCCTTCTTTCTTTGAGCCAGAGTTCTTTTGATGAAGTTGCGGGGGTAATGGAATAGTTTTACACGTCTGTGAGTCGATCCACAGGATCGTTTCTCTCACCAGCATGTCCGTAGATAAACCGATCGCTGGTACACACTACTCGATCGCATTTCGCACACACATACACTATTCGACAGATTATTTCATTGAAAGCGGAAGATAAACTGCTTATTCTCGTTCCCTTCTCATCTCTTCGTTTGAGAGCTGTCCTCTTGTAAACCATGTATGGGCAGAGTTCTCTCTAGGAGGCCTGACCGCAATCCTTACTTTTGACCTTTAAACCGATAATAAATGAATGAATGAATGAATGAATGAATGATTGAAGACCCAACTCATCCGTTTTCTTCCTCCCAGTTTGTTTCATTTACCTGTGATGTATTGCTCATCCGTTGGACTAAGAGAACATAGTCAAATTACAGTAAACTTTCGTTCACACACACCGTTGAATTTTGTTTTCTGATCCACGCACACATTCGACTACATACTACTAATTACAATGTAAATATAGAAAATATCGGACCCACATGATGCTCATCATCCATATAAGATATATATATATATTCGAGTAAGCGAGAGCAACTCACTCTTGAACAAGCACGACATGGAATTGGGTTTATGGGTATTCGTTCGCATTGGGCGCAATTCATTTCGAGGAAACCAGGTTCGTAAACTACCGCGTACGGTTTCTCCAAGAATATAAGTTCTCCTGAAATACAGATACAGTGATGAAATAGTTAAAACAAACTGAAATGAAAATAACGCACGACCACCGATCTGAAGCAACCACAACAGCCAGCAGGTCCCAAAGACTACGGATGTATAAACCAGTTTGACTTGATGGTCGAGTTAGTTATTCGGAGAGTGTATCTGGGTGTGTCTGTTGTTTAACAAGTGAAGGGAAGACGTTTATGCAGGTCGATTGATGTTCAAAAGAATGAATATTTAA